TTATTTGGAACAAAGATGTAAAGGTTGGTGCTCCAGCAGCCATCTTAGGTGACCTGGAAAATGGAAGCTTTCAGCTAATGATGGTGAAACCGAAAGACAGGACACAGGTAGCGGTCCTAGACTACCTCTCTCTTATTTTATGTCATAGAAATTAACTATTTTATTTTTTATTTTTTTAAATAAAAAGTCTTTATTTTACTTTTGTTTTTGAAACATCTTTCCACTAGATATACAAGTCTAGCTTGATAAATTTTTTGGATTTTCTGATTACTAAAGAAAGATCTGTTGATCCCCAGCGTTCTCTTTCTGTGCAACTCGATCTTCTCTGTTACTTATGAACTGTAAAAACTTAGTCTTTTGGGATACTTACACAATCCCCTTCAAGTAAGGGAGTCTACCAGACTCTCCCAGATTCTCTTTTTTGTGTCATGGACTAGAAACTCGAAACAATAAGCCAAGGACAATAGTAGTGCTCACCTCATTTGTTTCCCATTTCTCAAGACTACTGTCTTTCATTGTCTGGTGTCCAGTGTCTTTAAAAACAACAGTGTCTAGCTATTGTATTTAAGACACTATTGCTTTGGGGTTTTCTGTTATATGAAGCTAAATAGAATCCCAACTACTAATAATTCAGAGTCACTTTATTCAGGCTGGACTCTTGTTTAAGTTAGGATGAACTAGCCAGTTTTAATACAGCTTTGCATTAGCTTTATTAAGCCATGGTTGCTCGCAGGCTTTGTCCCAGATTACGTTTTGTAGAATAACCTTTGTTCCTTTCCCACCCAAGCCTTTACAGCAAATTCTCATTGGTCATAATATTTCCTTTAAAAAAAATTCCATGTTTCTTCGAGGCCCTTCATAAATTCCCTGGAGTTAGTCATTAAGTAATAGCACCATTCAAGACAGCCCTTGGAATTTTATCTCTAAAGGCAGAGGAGGAAAATGCCAGAGGAGGCTGCCTGTTCCATTACTTCAAACCCATGGTTTTGCTACTGCTAGTGCTATCACTGCCCAACTGATTTTAGTTCTAAGGCTTTTGTCTTTGTAATTTACTTGGGATTCTATAAAGATGATATACTTTGGTTAAAAAAAAAAATACCATCCTGGACATGAATAGAAATGAATATCCAGAATGTACTTAGGTCTACTTGATATAAAACTCCAGTCTGCAAAAATGACTGATGAGGTACTCTCAGTGATTAACTCAGACTCAACATCTGGTTATCTTATCCACTGTGCAAGTGCCAGAAATTTATATATGATTGAAATCTGATTTTTCTAAAAAAAAATGATTGATTTAGTGGACTTTATACCTCTTTCATAACCCTTAGAGACCTAGAGTCTTTTGCATTTAAATTGCCATGGTAATAGAATGGAGATGATAAGCCTCCATGCACACCACATACATATATGTGCATGTGCACACATATACCCCACACACGTACACACATACCACATACCCCACATGCATTAATACTGGACCTCTCACCCAGTTATGTCATTCTGTTTAGTTCCCTCTGTTCAGTTTCAAAGAAATCAAAGAATTAAAGAGGGAAAGTTGATAAAATCTGCTCAAGATGTCAAGCTCTCCTCTAAGTCCACTACTTGCTTTCTAGTAGTTTTGACCTGATTTCTGTAGGTACATGGTCATATAGGACACTTCCATAGTTACTTTATCTATACCTCATCTTCTTTCATCTTGCAGTGATGGTGGAGAATAACCAGGTCGGAAGTCTGCTTCTCCAGGACGGACTGATACTGCAAGAGGGAACAGTAAGAAGTCTGCAACTCCTCGGTGCGAAACTCCAGTTCTTGCTGAAAGGCCAGCAGCTTTTTCTTGAGTTGTTGGAGTTGCCTTAGATGACACTGCTTATTGGGCTCAAAATCCATGTGTGACTCCTCAAATGCTAAAGCTGGCTTCTTACTCTGCAATTGAGAAAGGCTTTAGATTGTCACCAAGCAGGCATTCATTCTTTGATTGTTTTTTCATTTCCTCAACCATTCACATCCATTTATTCACCCTTTTGTCTTTCCATCTCCAGAGCACTTATTAAATGTTTCACTCTGTTCACAATGAAGCATTACTTTGTACTTTCACTCTGTATGAAGAATTTAAAAGAAGGAAAAAACCATAGTTCCTTCCTACTATTTACATATACCATTCCTATTATGTAGGTCAGAAGAAAACACACACACGAAAGGGACCTAGAGAGCACTATAAAGATACACTCGATAATATGCTTATGTTTTGTCTTCATGTAAAAAGAAAACACAATTGACCTGGAAGGGAATGGATTTCTGGTTATGGTTCTTGGACTAAACTTGATTATTAAAAATGCCCAAATAAAAGGACAAACTCTTGGGGAAACAGCTTTCTGGAATGCCGGGGAACAGGAGGCAGAGATATTGCTAAGGCACATCTGAGCACTGACTCTGTCTCCTCTTGAAGGCAGATATGAGCTTGCAGTTGCTGAGTATGTGTGTGTCTGTATGTGTGTGTATGTGTGTGTGTGTGTGTGTGTGAGAGAGAGAGATCTCTCCCTGCCAGTCCACAGTCAACCTGAAATGCTGCTGACCCCACTTAAATTTTCATTCATTCATTCCATAAGCATATGTTGAGCACCTACAGTGTATCAGGTATTCTGCTCATAGGACACATCCCTGAGTTGTTTATTCTGGTACAGCTGAGGTCTTTGCACTGATGCGTCTATATTTTCTCGCCCAACATTCCCAGTTGAAACAGAAGCAGGCCCCTATGGTCCTTCTCCTCCATGTCCTCCACCTGTCTTTTGTCTGTAGAAAAACTTTAGCTTAAGCATAAGTTTAATCAGAGAAGTGAGAAAATGCAGAAGCAAAGGAAAGTAGTCCAACAAGACCAAACCATAATAGCTTAGTCATTAAACAAAGTCAAGGAACTTTAGTTCCTTCTCAAGGGCTATAGATAATATTCTGGGCCATACCCTGTGAGCTGTCTTGTAGATACTGAAACCCCCACCAGGTGGAAGAAGTTAACTACCTGATGACCAGACTATAGCCATGGCATAAGCTGCCACAATTCTGAGAACTGGCCTCAAAGAAATGGGAACCAACCAACCCTGGAACTGAAGATCAACTGTACTTTAAACAATCAAGATGATGCTTGATCAGACCACTGCATGACCAATTTCAAGATGATTGTCAGAGCTGATGGTGCTGTTTCTGTATGTAGCACCTTTCCTCCACCTATATATCCCTGAAACTCCACTTTAAAAGCTCTTGGCCACTGATTGTCAGTGGCAGGAGTCAGCCTTTGGACATGAGTCTGCCCACCTTCCTCCCCTGTTGCTGGCCTCTCACATACAGAAAACTTTGCTTTCACCAACCTTGCCTCTCAAGTATTGGTTTTAGAGTGGTAAGCAGCCAGGTCCCACTTTTGGTAACATGGTGACTTGTGAAGGAGAGGTGGATGAAGAAGATAGCTTGTAGGCATCCCTAATTCTTTTCTCTGCTTATTGTCTTCCTATTTATTGTTTAAAACCCCGTCCAAATCCTGCTTTCTTTCTTGTTTTCCCTGAAAAGTTGTATTTGCACCAATACCATAGCCTTTCTGGGCACGTCCTTAATGTGGCATTTTACATTCTGCCTTGCATTGTAATGATCTCTGTGCATCTTATCTTTTAATTAGACCATTAATTTCTGAAGGTCAGGGGTCATGTCTATTCGTACAGGGCCTAGATTAGAGATTCATACACAGCCAGGTATTGAACGAAAGAAAGACATAAAAATTGGCTCCCAAAAATTTGAGCTTGTGGCCTTGGCCCAATTAACAGAGTACTTTCAGACTTTTCTAAAATTAAATTTTTTTTACAGTTTTATCAGCATCTTCTCTATATGTCATCAAATTCAAATACTGTAAGTATACAATTCAATGATTTGTAGCAAATTTATAGGGTTGTACAACCATTATTACAATCCAGTTTTAGAATATTTCCATCACCTCGAAAATTCCCTCATGCCCATTTGTCACTCCCATTCCTACCCCAGCTCCAGGCAACCACTAATCTGCTTTCTGTCTCTATGGATTTGCCCTTTTCAGACATTTCATATAAGTGGAATTGTATAATATGTCATCTTTTGTGTCTGGCTTCTTTCGCTTAGCATAATGTTTTTGAGGTTCATGCAGGCTGTACCAAGAATCAGTATTCTGTTCATTTTTACTGCTGAACAGTGTGACTATACCATATTTTGTTTATCTGTTCACCAGTTAATGGATATTTGGGTTGTTTCAGGTTTGGGTTATTATGAATAATACAGCTATGAGCATTAACATCTGTCATGTGAATGTCATATTTTCATTGAATTAATTTGTTCAGCAAATATTAGGGTACACCTCCTATGTGCCAAGCACTCTACTAGTTCATGGGGATACAGAAGTTTATAAAACAGAATCTCTGCCTTCGTGAGGTCTGCATCTACTGGTGGGGGAGATATGTGGAGGGAGAGAGAGAGAGGGAATGAGAGAGAGAGAGGTAGCAAATTAAAGAAGTAAATTATGTAGTTTATTAAGAGGAAAAAGTGCTATGGAGGAGAATAAAGCAGCGGAGGGAGATGAGGAATGCCAAGATGGACACAGTTGTAATTTTGAATTAAGTGTTCTCATGGAGGACCACACTGAGAAGGTGACATCTGAGTTAAGACAGTCAAGGAAGAAGCCTGGTGGGAATGTACAACAGGAACACTCTAGACAGAAGTAATAGCAAGTGCTAAGACCTGGAGGTAGGAGGTGCCTAATGGTGTTTGAGGAGCCACTTTGTTCAGGCTGGAGCAGAGAAAGTAAGGGGAGAGTGGTACCCGATGAGGAGAGAAAGGAAAGGGAGGAGAGGTCTTTCAGGACCATGTAGGCCATCCTTAAAATCCTTAACTTTTCCTTTTAGGGAGATGAAGGGCCATTGGGGGTACTGAGCGGAGGAGTGACGTGATCTCCTGTAGATGTCACAAAAGACACAGTGGCCATTATATTGAAAACAAACTGTAGGGAGCCAAAGACAGAAGTGGGGAGACCAGCAAGGAGGCTGCTGCAAGAATCCAGGTGAGAAGGGACAGCAGCATGGACCAAGGTAAAAGCTGGGGGAAGTGGCTGGATTTTAGATGCATGTTTGAAAGTAGACTCCACAGGATTTGCTTCTGCATTAGATGTGGAATGAGGGGAGATAATGGTCATCCAAGGCAGAATGATTCCATGGTTTTGGTTTGAGTAATTGGAGAGATGGAGTTTTATTTGTTTTTATTTTATTTTTGGCTGTGTCATATGGCATGTGGGATGTTAGTTCCCAACCAGGGACTGAACTGGTGCACCCTGCATTGGAAGCACGGATCTTAACTGCTGAGCCACCAGGGAAGTCCTGGAGAGATGGAAATTTAAAGAGATTACTTCAGTAAGAGCTGGCACCCAAAAGGAAAAAATCTTCTCTAGTGAGAGTGGGTAGGGGCAGCACAGATAAGGTCAGGGAGGCTCAACCCAGTTCAGAACCAGAAAGACAACAGCAGATTGTGTCAGTTCAACCTGAAAGAGAAGACAGAAAATGGACCATAATGGTCAGCAGGCAAAAGAATTCCCAGACAAAGACAAGCTGAACCCTTGACCTGAACATTTGGTGTATGTGGCCAGAGGGAAGTGGATGAGACTTCTTTTCTAGGCCAAACAAAGTTGAATTTTTTATTTACTCTGCTACAATTGCCAACATTTACAATAAATGTTTTAAATTAAGTGTTTTCATTCTTTTCAAGATAAGAACTGTGCTATTCTTACAACTCATCTGTGAATGAGGTTCAGAGGGAAGGGGCTTGGGAGTGATGTGTGTGTGGGTGTGCTCATGCTCACATGTGTGCATGAACACAAACATGCAAGCGGGAGGTTCTCAGGAGCCCAAGTCCTCAGTCTATTTAGGTGAAACTGTGGGGTGGGGAGCTACTTGGAGAAAGATATGGTCATGGATAAATACTTAATGTGGGTAGAACTAAAGCAAAGGTGTGAACACCTGGGGTATGGTTATTGCAGAAGGGCTTATTTCAGTAAAGCACCTACTTACAATCTATTTTGCTCCAGTCCTGCTTCTCTTAGCTTTGTTGAAGGTAGCTTGATCTCTAAAAATTAAGAAAGCGGAGTCCTTGTCCTCCTAGAACTTCTGTACAATTGTTGATTTGGACCTGCCACTCTACTGCCAGATGTGTGTGCCCCAGTTGAAAACTGACCAGTCTCCTCATTGTATATTCTTTCTCTGCCTCCCCTTATTTCCACATCCCCGTTTTCTCTTCATTACCCAAAAGAATAAAAGAAATGCTCTTCTTTTTAAAACAAGCCAAACTCTTTCCTTAGGGCTTCCCCTCCGAGCACATGATCTATACTTCGGTGTGTTCATAATTGTTCTTTGACTTTAAAGCCTCTTGTGGGTAAAGAGAGACTCTTCCTAGTGTGAAGCTTAGCAACCTGGCAGTGATACTGGCAAATTGGTAATAATATCCTTTCATCAGAGGTCGTGTTCAACCTTCTGGGTTTAATTTTGGTTTTAGGTAATATGATAGATGGACCAGATGATGAGAGTTCACTAAAATTTTTCAGTATAGGGCAAAGGTAGCACCTGACCTAATTTGTCTGGCAATAAAGATCCAAGAACTGCTCATACCTGCAGAGAAACTAGAGTTTTCTTGGATGAGGATTTTAAACATTTGCACACTGTAGATACCTATGGGTTTAAAGGAATCAAATTTCAAAGACTTGGAGAAATGCCTAGACTTATTTGAGACCTATTAAATTTCTACTCATTTATCCTTAGGTATTCAAAAGGTTATTTTTCTTAATTCTAAATGAATAGAAAATGACATGCTATAGATTAAGCCTGAATTTCACTTATATTTGTACCAAGAAGCCATGTCACAAAGGCATCAATGCATTTCCTGCTGCTTCTGTCTTCTTTTTTAAAAAATTTCTTTATAGTGAAGGCAGATATTTTATTAGATTCTGCTTTGACCTTTAAACTGAAATCTGGAGAAATTGAGCAAGTTGGAAATAATCTTACTGAAGTAAGACTAGTTCTTAAAATGACCATTCAGAGTTGGACATGATACTGGAGGCCATCTGGTCTGCCAATGTTTCTCAGATTGATTTCTGTCCAGGATTCAGCTGTCTTAAAAGACAGAGGACCTGGCCACCTGTAGGAACCTGTTCTCATATTTAGACTACTTTTCAGCCCTTCTTGTGGTCAAAGAGATTATAGCTATTGCTCCCTCCTTGCTTTTGTGGCCACTTGATCACAGAAGGAAATTAATTGGCCTGGCATGATTTCACCTTTTGAAAAATCATGTTGGTTTCCACCCAATACTTGGTGGTTTTCGAGTTGATGCTAATTGATTGATGTTAAGTTCTATATTTTCCCTGATATTGAAGTTAAGCTGACAGGTCTATAATTACCGAGATTGTCCTTTTTTCCTTTTTAAAAAGATGAGCACTTCATTTACCCTTTTTCAGTCTGCAGGGACTTTCTTTATTCTCTTGAGTTCTCAAAAATAATCGCTAGCAGCTATGTAATAACACCTGCCAATTCCTTAAGTACTGTTCCAAGTATATCATCAGGCCCTGCTGCTTTGCCCAAAGCCAGCTTTTCAAAATACTTTTTAACCATTTTATTCTCTTTTCTAGTTTCTGTCTCAGGTTGGCAGTGCTCTGAAAACTGAATCCTTGATGATTTTTCTTCATTTAAGAGAAAAAGCCCCATCTTTTCCCAGTCGTTGTCAGAACTCCTTTCCGTATCTTTGAGGTGGGAAGTGAGATATTTCCCTTGTAAGCCTAATTTAGTCTTATATCACTAGAGAGGTTCATCCCAGGGTTGGGACTAGGGTAAGGTAAGTGATGGGCACATCTTAAGGAGGCATTCGATCTTAGGACTGAACAAGTACAGGGTTGGCACCTAAAGAATGAGTGCCCTTGTACTTCCCTGGTGATCCAGTGGTTAAGAATCCACCTGTCAATGCAGGGTACACGGGTTTGATCCCTGGTCTGGGAGGATTCCACATGCCTCAGGGCAACTGAGCCCCATGTGCTACAACTACTGAGCCCATGAGCCCTAGAGCTGAGACTCTGAAACAACAGAAGACATACAATGAGAGACTGTGCACCCCAAGAAAAGTAGCCCTCACTTGCCGCAACTAGAGGAAGCCATGGGCAGCAACGAAGACCCAGTGCAGCCAAGAATAAATAAATAAAAGTTAAAAAAAAAATGAGCGCCCCCGACATTTTGCACCCTAGGCATCTGACTTGCTTACCTCAGGCCCAGCTCTCTCTGTTCCTGGGACTTGGAGCACAAAGTATTCTTGATTTACAAGGTCACCTTGCCTGTCTCTTTTACACACACAACATCTGATGTCATATTTTAATTTTTTTTGCATAACTGTGTTCTGAACATCTTGCTTATTTCTCCAGCTCCTTGTCAGATATTAGTCAAAATTTCAGAAAGCCTTGGGTTCCTCCTTGCTTTGCTTTTAACATTTTTAGGGCATCACAGAGGAACAATTTGTGGTTTCTATAGGGAGGTGGTAAGGGTCCTGGGAGATCTCTTAACAGAGTTCTAGTTAACTGTAACTCTCTCAATTAGGAGAGACCAGATCCTTGACTGCACTTAGGAGGCTAACTTGGAGGTCTGGCAACAGATCTGTGCAACTTGTACCTGCCTTATGTTCACCAAAAACTTAAGTCCCTAAGTAGAAATGATGACTGCAAGTTAGGAGTTCTTGGAGACACAAAGTGTTTAGAAAACTCTGGGAAAACATCTCCCAGCTGGCTCCCCAGCTTGTGGGCATAAATTTAGAGACTGGTTTAAAGAGCTTAGAGCTGGAGTTTCCAAAAAGAGAAAACCTCAGGATGAAGGGAAGTTGCCTCAGCTGATGAGTTGCCTAGGAGGTTAGTTCAAAATCAGAGTCTCAAGAAAGATGACCATGCCAGGAGATCCTCCTGCTCACACATGTTCAGGACAAGTGTATCATGGCTTGGGCACCTCTGGAAGCAAGTCCTATGACAAGGAACCAGGCATCGAGTAAGTAGCTTGTGTGGAAGGTGATTTTAGGAAACTCAGGGACTGGAGTAGGGAAATGAACAAGGCAGGGAAGGAAGCTGTGAAAGGAGGCCAACCTACTTGCCACTGTGGGCACCTGGTACTGGGCCCTGTTGAGGAACTCCAGGAGAGAGCAAAGAATGTGCCTGGAGTTATTTCCAGTGAGATAGGGTAAGGGAAATGGGTTGCTAATCAGCCCTCTCCCCATCAGTCACTGGTTTAGGGCTGCTTCTAGGGGCATTAATTCTTCTGAACTTCAGCTTGTCCTATGACTGGGCTCCTGTATCCAGAAGTAAAGCTTGTAGGCAGAGAGCTGCAGGTGTGGCAATAAAGAGCTCCTGCTGCACTGACAGGAAGTGACACTTCAGAGCAGGTGGAATGGCTGCTATTTTCATGGGTGATGTAGAAGTTTGTCCAAAATCCATTAAGAGAATTCCCTGGCAGTCCAATGGTTAAGACTCTGCACTCCCCAGGCAGGGAGTACAGGTTCAATCTCTGGTTGGGAAACGAAGACTCCACACGCCACAAGACTCGGCCAAAAAATAAAGTAAAATCCTTTAAGAGATGCTATTCTCTTTTTTTTCTCCCAATTATTTTTATTAGTTGGAGGCTAATTACTTTATAATACTGTAGTGGTTTTTGCCATACACTGACATGAATCAGCCATGGATTTACATGTGTTCCCCATCCCAATCCCCCCTCCCACCTCCCTCCCCATCCCATCCCTCTGGGTCATCCCAGTGCACCAGCCCTGAGCACTTGTCTCATGCATCCAACCTGGACTGGCGATCTGTTTCACACTTGATAATATACATGTTTTGATGCTGTTCTCTCAGATCATCCCACCCTCGCCTTCTCCCATAGAGCCCAAAAGTCTGTTCTATACATCTGTGTCTCTTTTTCTGTCTCGCATACAGGGTTATCGTTACCATCTTTCTAAATTCCATATATATGCGTTAGTGTACTGTATTGGTGTTTATATCTTTCTGGCTTACTTCACTCTGTATAATGGGCTCCAGTTTCATCCACCTCATTAGAACTGATTCTCTTTACATAACTACATAACTATGATCTGGCTTTTTTTTAAAGGGCAATGGACCTCAGGTGCTGCTAATTCAGTGTGAAAGACCAGGTAAAGAAAAGAGCTCAGATGTAAATGACCTTGGAGATAAGATAGCTACACTGAAAAGTCCTCAGGGCAGGGATGGCATTTGTGTGTGTGTGTGTGTGTGTGTGTGTGTGTGTGTGTGTAGTTCTCTCTCATTGTTTGCTCAGTAAGTGCTCTTGAATGACCAGTGGGAGAACTTTCTATTATTTCTCCTACCCAAGGAGGCAGAAGTAGAAACAGAGTGAGCAGAGGTGGTAAGTGGACGGTGAATCCCTTACGTGGCTGCTGTTCATCATGGCCTCTTCCACACAGAGCTGATTCTCCTGCAAGGTCTTCCCCTGTCTCTTGCAGACATTGTGTAGATTCTTGATGTCAGCTTGCAGGCTCAAGAGCTTGCTGTTCAGACTGCTTATGTCTCTGTCTCTCTCCCCCACCTCGGCAGTCAGAGAAACAAAAGCATCAATTATGAACTATCAAGAAAATGCTTACTTTCGTTCACTGGTTGACAGAGACTTTAAATTTGCCGGAAATTTGTACATCAGCCCTTTGCTGTTATTACTCATCTTGTGTAACATTTACACAGTATCCATTTGCGAGGTGTCTGAGTGCTCTGCATTATTCAGACAATTACTTATTTACATTAATTAATCTTCACCCACTGCTGTGGGTGCATCATAGACGCTTCCCTTGCTTTCAAGAGAAAGTCAGTGCCTAAAACAACTCCAGGCACCTGGTGAGCTGTCTATAATATTAATGGCTCTGCCACTGATGAGATGAACTAGTGAGATGTCAAATGGACTTGTCAAGACTCTAGTGAATCAGTGCTGGAGTTGATGTGGCTTCTGAAAAGTCTCTTCACTTTCCCTTCTACTCACTAAACTAAAGACTTCCCTCACCTACAAACCTGTGTTTCCCTGGTGACTGAGATAGTAAAGAATCTGCCTGTAATGCAGGAGACTGGGGTTCGACCCCTGGGTCAGGAAGATCTCCTGGAGAAGGAAATGGCAACCCACTCCAGTGTTCTTGCCTGGAGAATTCCAGGGATGGCGGAGCCTGGTGGGCTGCTGTCTATGGGGTTGCAAAGAGTTGGACACGACTGAGCGACTCACACTTTACACTTTTTACATGTATAAACCTTGTGTTTTTCTTTGGAGACATACACCAATGGGAGTGAAAGTAAAATCCCTGGACTGATTGCATAAGATCCCTGTCTTTGATTATAAGTGAAGAAGATTTGTTAATTACTGCTAGGTCAGATGGAAATTAGTGATCAAGATCAAAATAGAGAATGTGGGGCATAGTAGCTTGGGTGGGGTTAGGGCGTACAGCCACGGAAAGGGGGTGGGGACTCTGTCATATAGGATGCCACCTTCCATTGCCAGTGTTGTGGGTGACAACGGTGTGAAAAGAGATTAGCAAGCAGCCCTCTGTGAACCTGTCCAGTGCTTTAGTCCTATCACTGTGGACACTTTTTGTGATACTCTTGAGGACAGGCACCACCACCTCCGAGTTTTAGATGCTGGAACTGAGGCTGGCGCTTTTATAGTAGGTGCCTGCTTGTGTAAATTACCTGGAGCAAGCTCTTAGGTGAGGATTCATGGCATCTGTTAAAGAAAACAATCCCAACAGAAATCAGCAAGTAGGTGGGGGAAGCAGGACAGGGAAGAAGAAACTAAGGAAGGGCACAGTTTCAGACAAAGTTTTGTGGGGATGGCTTCAGCCTAATTCCACAGGGAACTCCAGGGTCTAAGTTACACCTTAGAGTCTGTCCTGATTAGATGCAATGAAAGCTGGGCGTCAGCCTCAGCATCGGCCAGTCAATGGTTAAGGGATGCCTCATGGGGTGTAAGCTCCCAAGGACTCCCAGATTTCTGCTCTTGTGAGTAAAGTGACCCCAAATGCCCAAGGGCAATTCTTCTGAGAGAGTTGTAGGTGCAAAAGCACACAGAAGGCATGAATGCCCAGAAATGGCAAAGTGGTTCATCAGGTGATAGTGTCCAATGTCCCATAGGTGGTTAGCAGAGGAAAGTTCAGCTCTCCTGACCCTGTAGCCAGGGCTCCACCACCACGTCCCACTGATTGTGCTGACTTCTTAAATGTATGAGCTTTATAAGGCATACTTCCAGGGGGAGCTGGAGACCTGATATGGACATCATAAATCAAGCCTTGCTGGACAGGTCAGTTTAAGAGACCTCTGTACAAGGCTGGGGGTGGGGTGGGAGGGGGCAGAAATAACCACGAGAATCGGACACCTCAATGTCAGAGTATTCGGAATTCAGAAGGTTTCCCAGAAGTGCTGCTGTCTCAGCTGATTTATTCCATCATTTCCATTTAGTACCTGGACATTTTTTTTTTTACCACTTTACAGTTTAATTAGGTTAACGGCGTGGCTCTGTCATTAAAAGGATTTCATTATCTCAAAACTCTTCTTCTTCCTCTCCAGCTCCTGTCCCTTGTTCCCCACTTTCAGAAAAATAACAGTGGATGTCAACTGCCCCAAGCATGTAATTACCATTAAGACAATTACCAGGGACTCTCTTAAGAGAATATGTGTAGAGCAGCTAAAAAAAAAAAAAAAAAAATGGTGTACAGACACTGTTCTCTAACTAGAAAACAAAATCCTTGATCTGACAAGGAGCAGCAGTTTGATTCTAGGGCTTTTAAAAGCCTTTTTCTCATGACTGCCTAACTGGGAATAGGGTGTGGAGACTCCCTGGGGAGTTAGGGGAGAGCCTAGGGATTCCCTATTGCTACAGGACTCTCTCTTTGGCATCTATGAGCAGATTAGGTGACAATACAATGCATGCTCTATGAAAGTGCCACATGCCCTATACTCTCGCCTGGGTGCTGAATATATGCACCCTAAGGTGAGGACCATGTCACCAGATTGTTGTGTATGAAGCCGGGCACGCTGAGGACTCACTAACAAAGTACCAGTGATATACAACTTGAGCTTCTCCGTGTTAAAAGCTCAGTACCCTCTCAGGCCAATTAAAAAAACCCCACTCCTTCTAGTTTTAGTTGTCCTCTGAGAAGGAGGCCGGCTAGCCCAATTCTGTTGCATCACCAGTGCTTCAGAATGGGATCTTTAATGTACACGATCTCATCTAATTTGGACATTAGCACTGACTCAGAGTCTCTGAGGCAATTTCTTTGTTCATAAAACAAGAAGTTTGGAATAAATAGTCCTTTCTTTGAGGATGCCCTAAACCAGTTGAATAACAAAGGTATTTTGCTAAACATCAAATGAAATTTGCTTTGGAAATAAGGATCTAACCATTCACTCCTAAAGGCCAAATTATACAAGGATTTTGATTCACCAGAATAAGAGTGAAAATGCTGGGAGAGCACTAAGGTGATTTCCATGAACCATGTATTATTTTTTACTGTAGGTGGTTGTAAGAAGGGGCTGTGCTCATCTCAGAACTCCATAAAGGCCAGTGTTTCTGAGGTTCCAGTAAACTTAATTTCTTGCTAATATCATAAACATAGGTCACTGTACACTATTTCTAATCCTATCTACTTTATGAACACTAAATTCCAGGCAGATGCCTTTTGAGTATCAATATGCAGTAGAAATTGATTTAATCTGACATTTCATCAATCAGAGCTCTGTAACCAGTACTGGGACACGAGATGAACTGAGAGTCTAATGTTGACCCTCAGGTGTCATCTGATCCTGCTCTAGATATGAAGTCACGAACAATCTGAAGTCACAAGCCTCCACTGCTAGGTGGGTTTCACATTCATAAACCATGTACTTAGATACAGGCAAACCTCGAAGATATTGTGGGCATGGTTCCAGACCACAGAGATAAAGCAAATATCACAGTAAATCAAGTCACAGAAATTTTTTGGTTTCTCAGTGCATATAGAAGTTATGTTTACAATATTCTGTAGTCTATTAAGTTTGCAAAAAATTTTAAAAAGTATATGCCTTAAATTAAAAATAATGTATTGCTAAAAAATGCTAACCATCATCTGAACCTTTAAAGAATTGCAATCTTTTCACCAAAAGTAACAAAGGTCACTCAGCACAGATCACCATAACAAATATAACAATGAGCAGTTTGAAATATTGCCCAAAATGCCAAAATGGGACACAGGGACACAAAGTGAGCAAATGCTATTGAAAAAAAATGGCATTGATAGACTTGCTTGACATAGGGTTGCCACAAATCTTCAATTTGTAAAAAATATAATATCTACAGAGTGCAATCAAGTGAAGCTCAATAAAATGAAGTCTGCCTGTACCCAGTTTTGCTTGTAAGGGGTTGGAACCTGGCCACTTCGTTTGAAGGTCTGTGACATCAGCAGCAGCTACCAACCACAGGCAAAGTGGTGAGTGCTGATGCTACAGTTACTCAAGATAGTTATTAGAAAATAGGTTACTTACTGAAGCAAATTTTCTGTATTGATTAAGTGAGTCTTTTCTCAAAGAGCATGCCTTCTTGAACACACATTTCAAAAGATGGGAAGAAATTTTTCTCTAGGCTTCAAAAGTATTGACAGGACTTGCCTGCTGGTCCAGTGGTTAAGAATCTGCCTGCCAACGCAGGGGACACAAGTTTGACCCCTGGTCCGGGAAGATTCCATATGCCCTGGGGCAACTTAAGCCTGTGAACCTCAACTACCGAGCCCACATGCAGCAACTACTGGAGCCTGAGTGCCCTAGCACTCGTGCTCTGAAATAAGAGAAGCCACAGTGAAAAACTTGTGCACTACAACTAGAGAGTAGCTCCCCACTCCGCTTGCTGCAACTAGAGAAAAGCCTGTGCAGCAGCAAAGACTAGGCACAACCAAAAAAAAAAAAAAAAAAAAAAAAAAAAAAAGATTTTTAAGCCTGTGAACCTCAACTACCGAGCCCACATGCAGCAACTACTGAAGCCTGAGTGCCCTAGCACTCGTGCTCTGAAATAAGAGAAGCCACAGTGAAAAACTTGTGCACTACAACTAGAGAGTAGCCCCCCACTCCCCTTGCTGCAACTAGAGAAAAGCCTGTGCAGCAGCAAAGACTAGGCACAACCAAAAAAAAAAAAAAGAAAGAAAGAAAAGATTTTTTAAAAAGTATTGACAGATAGTCTTATGCTTCTTCTCCGGGGGAGCTGATGTTAAACTGAAGTTTGTGATTCAGAAGCACGCTCAGGCCCCAGGAGCATTACAAAGATTCAAGATGGCAGCATTTCCCGGGATTTGGAACTTGAACAATAAAGCTTGGGTGGCAGTTTCCAGAGGAAATCTGGAGTCCACCAACAATATCATAAAGTTATTATCTGGGAAATTAGTTTTGTAATAAAGAAAGGTCTTCAATAAACAATGGAAAACCACCCTTAGCCCTCACTACCGTTCAAAACATATCAGTTTATAGTCAGAGTTATGTTTTTAAAAGCATGAAATCTTAAAAGTTAACATTGTTACAGGAATTTTTATAGTTTACTTCCACAGTAAAAGAGTTTAAAGTTATCTACAGTAATTCCAAACATTGCTATTGATATTACTAACTTGATTCCTGAGTTTACTTTTTCATCTATAAAAACATTACAGTTTTTGTTTACTTATGATGGGAATTAATGGGCACTTACCCAAGGTTTAGCCTGTGAGTAAAAATTTTGGAGCCAATTATGTTCATATAGTGAAGACTGAGTATATTTTATTGTGTCTTAAATTCTTTAAAAACTGGCACCCTGTATAAGTATATGGCTTAGGATACACATGACCTGTCAGAGATCCACCACCTATGGAATATAGGCCAATTCTCACTGGCACATAATTTCCTCCAACACATCCTTGGAGAAATTATTTCCCTAGAGAGTAAGCTCCACAAGAATAGGGATCTTTGTCTAATTTGTTCACTGCTTCATCCCCAGGCCCTAGAGCAATGCCTGGCACAGTGAAGTGCCCCAAAGATATCAGGTGAATGAAGAAACGCCCTTCTAGAAAAGCTACATCAGACCCTTTTTCTTCCTGCAGAACTTTGAGTGAATCCTGAAGGGCTCCCACTAGTAATCTAGCAGGAAAGGAGTTGAAACACCTCTTTTGGAAACCACTTACCTCTCAGTAGGAGGTCTGTTAGAAAGCATATGTCATGTGGGACAGTCCTACACTAACAAAAACATCCCCCTTAAGTCCTTTCTGAAACAAGTCAGGGAAAACATAAACACAGTTTGACTGAAATATTAAACTCAGCAGAACACTCTGTTTCCATATCAGTCCAGATAAAGAGAAAATGTTGGCAATAATATTTAATAAGTGCTTAAGTCCCAAGCACTGGTTTTTTACATGTGGTATCTTACTTAATCCTCACAGTGAGTCTTGGAAATAAGTGCTCATTATTCATATTTTCTAGGTAAGGCAAAGGAAGCTCAGAGAGGTTAAGTAAAATGCCCAATATCACACTGCTATTAGATATGGACCCAGACCCACCTAGCTCAAGTCTGGGCTCTTATATGTTATGTTTGCTCTGCTGCCCACCTCTGTCTGAGATTTGAGGATGCTTATTATAGGAGTTTTGAATCATGAAATTTGAAAAGATGTCCCTTGTAACAAAGGTTCAATCGACTCTATTCCTTTATACAGAGGAGTAAGAAGACTTACCTCATCTTTCATTTCCTTGGTACCTCTCAATTCTCCTTTAAGATTTAGCATTTTCTGAGCTTTGTTATAAACCTGAAAAAGTCCAAGAATTTAAGATGGAAAAAGCATAAATTAGTCTGGCCCTTTAAAGATTTTCCCACCTGGATATGTGCTCTCAGCAGGGAGTCTGGAAAAATTTCTGAACTGTTGGCAATACTTACTTGCCTACCCATCTGTTTGTGTTTTCAAAGTGTGTTAAAGCCTTTGCTAGGAAAACAGGACCGTGGTTTTACATCTTTTCCAAAAAATCACCAGTTGGTAGGTAGGCTAGTTTCTGAACTCATCCTTCTTGGAAAGTAAAAGGTCTGAAATGATTTTACTTTCTAGGTTTCTAAATAGTCTATGGCTCAAATATAGTTAACATGAGGTACTAATTATGAACCAGATGGGATGTGCACATCAACTTCATTCTCATAATAACCCTGGGAAGTAGATACTATTTCTGTCTCCACTTTACAGAGGAGGAAATTGAAGCCCAGAGAGGCTAAGTGACTTACCCAAGGTCAGACAGGCTCTCTTACTACTCCATGGGGATCTTCCTTTCCATTAATTTCTACTTATTAATTTGGAAATATCTGATGATGTGATTTTTTTTTTTGCAGCGTCAAGTTACTATTATATTGGCGGTTGTAAAGTTAGGAAACTTGAAAAGTGCTGAGAATTATCCAAATAAAAAGCCTCAAGGAAAACCACAGATATTTGCACATATGTGTGTGTAAGTATAGGATGATGCATGTGAGGTCATAATGCACTGCACTTATTAAAATAATCTAATTCATTATGTTTTAAACTCTAGGACTAGAGGAAGTTTCCATCAGGCACTTACCTGCAGAATAGTTCCAAGAATGAGAAGCTATCAAAATACTCATTCTTTGTGATGAACCACATACCCCAACCCTAATAAAAGCCAAGAGGAAGAAAGAATGCTGGCGAGAATTTGGAATGTTTTATGGGGTTGTATTCCGATGTGCTGCATTGTTTACCCTCTTACGGCTTCATGCAGAGAGATGTATCGTGGGAATGGTGATGTCAATTTGGTTTAGCCAGTAGGGAGGGGCTAGGTGATGCTGCAGTAACAAATAATCCACAAATCTCAGTGATTTAAAACCATGAAGGTTTATTTTTCACTTGTGCTACATGTCCTTTATGAGTCAGCTGGGGCTCTGCTCTTTATTGTCCTCAGCTAGTAGAACCTCTATCATCTAGTATGCTGCCTGTTGCCATGGCAGCAGAAAGGGAATTAGGTGAATCACACACAGGTTCTTAAAGTGGAAGTGACACACTTCACTTCTGCTCACATTTCATTGGCCAAAACAAGTCCTATGGCTATGCCCACTTTCTTCCTTTACCCCCAAGAGGAAATATTAGTGAATGTTACAAATCACTTCAACGCAAGATATCTTAGTTGATTGGGTTGCTGTAACAAAATATCACAGACTGCATATCTTACAAGGAACAGAAAAACTTTTTTCTCACAGTTCTGGAGGTTGAGAAGTTCATGATCAAGGTGCTAGGAGATTAGGTGAGGACCCACTTCAGAGATGGCTGTTTCTTTTTTTTGCTGTGAATTCACATGGCAGAAGGGACAAGGGAGACTCCTGGGGTCTCTTTTATAAGGGCACTAATCCCATTCATGACAGCTCCATTTTCATGATGTAATCACTTCCCAAAGGCTCCCACCTCCTAATACTATCACCTTGATGGTTAGGATTTCAACACATGAGTTTTGAAAGGATACAAACATTTACTCTACAGGGTTAGACAGCCAAGAAGATTAAAAATAGCATGGCCTAAAAGAACACTGAACAGGTCTGTATGCTAGGAAGCTGCTAAACCTGGTTCAGCACCTAAGTCAAGGAGCAGCCTATGGAAAAGCACTCATCTCTCCAAGCCTTCATTCTCTCTCTGTAAACTGAGGAGCTGTACTGAACGATGGCTTTCTTTCCTAGCTCTAAAGTTTACTGTTTTGGTTCTACCTAGATGGACATTCTTCTTTAATAGGAAACGTGAACTCAGTCCCAAGCATCACACAAAGGTTGTAGTGGAGTAAACATGTCCTTGAGAATAATATTCCTCTAGAGGCTGACGACTGAGCAACTAACAACAGAAGCTAACTTACTGGATTGTCAGGAGATGATTCTTAAATAAAATGAAATCTTGTCCCAGAGATGGAAAAATGATTGTCTAATTCATGATCGTTTCATCTACTATGGAGTTACATAGCTACCATTGCAAGGGCCAAGAGCATTTGGAAGGAAAAGTGGCAGGCACAGGCTCTCATATTTGCATGGAAATATATTTACTAAGTAAAATAAATTAGAGGAAAAATAGAGAGCTGAACTGTGTTCCATGAAGGAAACATGGGAATCCTGTGAGTCATTAACAATAGAAGTGGGCAATTTGGAAGTGTTTATGATGAAAAAAAAAGGGAAGGGTTATACGATAAGTTTTGGAAGCATTTGACAGTAATGTGTGCCAGATGGGTAAGGAAGAGTGCTTTGGGGGAGCCTCAGCTGCTTCATAAAATGATCACAGGAACCTTCACAATGCCTTCTGAGGAGTGTGTGTCCAGTGTGGCTGGACAAATATTTTGTAGAGGAGAGAACTCATCACAGAGGGAGGGGCTCCCCACCTGATCCATGGATACTGATCTCTGGGCACAGGACTTGAATGTCCCCTCTCTTCAAACTCTGATTCTACACCTTCTGTGCTATTGTCTCCCGCATCACTGTTGAGACCTTCACATCCTTGTGCCTCATCTCCTCCACTGGCATTTCCAATTCTGTTGTGTCTCCCCAGGGAACTACTCTTTTTGTATTCGAAAGTTCTGCCATCTGCTTTTCTAGCAGGCTTTTTCTTGGTGACAGTTGTGCCCACAAAAAACAGAAAACAAAAACTTGGTCAGGGGATCTAGTGATGTTTTGTGCCTCTGAAGTTGGCCTCAGCCCCCACACAGAGCACTTTACAGATTCTCAAGAAACACTTAATACTACACTTAGTCATCACATCAGTGACTAGGGTAGCAGTATGAACTCAAGTGTGCAAAGAAAAAGTAACTATTTTTGTATTACTCAATCTCTTTGTTAAATTCCATTTATACCAAATGGCAGAAAATGGCATCTTAGTTATTTCTGAGGACTATCCATCATTTTTTCAGTTAAAAAATGAAGCAGTTCATGATTCCTTCCACCTATTTAGGTCTCTCTAGAGTGTGCCTCAGTTCTGGTGTCCTGGGTTGCTCTGGTCCCTGGTCAAGGGTGTCTCTCGCAGCTGGAGTGTGCCGAGATGTCTGTGTGCTGGTCATCAGGCTGCAGAGACTGCATCTTCTTCTTACTGTAGCTCTTCTGGGCCTTTTTAATCCTCTGAGGAAGCTGCTAACGCAGAAAGACACACACACATACATGTGAGATTGGTGTCAGGCTCTCTTCCCTTGGACCTGTTCTACCGTCATTATACCACCATCATTTCCACCGTTCTCTAGAAAGGTCAGTTGAGAGAAAAGGGATAGGATTTTAAGATCTTGTTCACTCACTTCCCTGTCCCCCATTCCTGGTATGCGTCAACATTTCTGCCCCTGGACTGCTAAATCTATCTGGGGTTCTATTGTTTTCCCCATTTTTGACAATTAGAGTGATCTTACCAGGGTCAAATTCTCTAACTTATGTTCATATTCTCCTCTCTTTCCTCTTTATTAACTCAGAGAGCCTTTGTTTACTTGTGGGGAGAGGGAGGAAAAAGGTATGTGAACGAGTTCAATGAAACACAGGTTGAGTGGGGGCAGGATGGGAAACAGATGTTAGTACTTCTTACACCATCTATCAGTATCTTCGTGAGGTTACACACATGCCATCAACACAGATTACTGGTGCTGACTCCCCATGGAACTGGTCACAGCTTGGGCATATGGATGAACTACTGGCCTTAAAGCAACACTGTCTGTTACTTTTCCTTCATGACCTAGATGGAAGAATATCAAGAATCTATTTTTCTCATCTAAAACACATTTCTGGGTTTTCACAGAAAGAGATACTATTAAGTTTAAAGTTAAAGCTATCCTTGGGGGTTAATCAAGGATAACCCCCTTCTACCAATAAAAACTAGTGGTAAAGAACCCATCTACCAATGCAGGAGACATAAGAGACATGGGTTTGATCCCTGGGTCAGGGAAATCCCTTGGAGAAGGGAATGGCTACACACTTCAGTATTCTTGCCAGGAGAATCCCATGGATAGAGGAACGTGGTGGGCTATGGTCCATAGGGTCATAAAGAGTAAGACATGACTGAAGTGACTTAGCATGCATACACACACCAATATAAAAGGGTGGTGACTCCTAGGGGTCTTAATTATTGAAATGATGAAAGGATGTTCAATGTTTCTTCCAGTTTACAAATATGTGAACACCATGAATTGACAGGATACTCCTTGTACAATAAATTGCTTCTGCCAAGAGCTCATGGACATAGCCATACTGTGTGGAGGCTTGGCATGAACGATCTACTTCTTTGGATTCAAATCCAATTCAAAAAGAAAATAATCCCTGGTCATGTAATGCATATCTGAGAAACAGAGGTGGGAGAAGGGGATGGTTTTGCCTGGGTTGGGGGTTCTGCGCCATGACTTAGTGATAGGAACCTGACACCAAGGTTACTGATTAGTCCAACCCGATGACTGAAGCTATTCTGGAGAGGAAGAAGGGCCAGTTGGGTCTTCCTAAAGGAGACTTTGGGATGGCTGAAGAAACAAGGGTCTTGAAGGAACAAGAGAAGGGGTCCCAGGATTTATCAGACTTGTTGCTACAGGTGAAAATCTCTCCCTACAGCTAGCTCTTCGCACAGAGGCTGTCAGTTGTCTGTTCTAATATCCATACTATAAATCTTTCATAGTAACATAACCTTTATCAGGGTGACTATGTACTCATCCAAAAGACTACCCATCCCAGCCTCTCTGGTAGCCAAGCATGGCTACATGTCTAAGTTTTGGCCAATAAGATGTAAGATGAAATACTGTGGGAACTTCCTGGAAATCTTAAGGAGTAGTGTAAGCTCTTTGTTCCTTCTTCCTTTCTGGTTGTCTGGAATGATGATTTAGGGGCTGGTGCTCCAGCAACCATCTGGAATATGATGTGGCGCTCATAGACGTAGAAGCTAGGTCTCTGATGGTATGGAACCACCATGCCAGCCCTGGAGACAGAGAAACAGCAATTTTAAATTTATTTATGTATTTATTTATTGCCACATCTCGAAGCATGTGGGATCTTAGTGTCTAACCCAGAGATTATGGGATGGAGAGGGAGGCGGGAAGGGGGATCAGGATGGGGAACACATGTAAATCCATGGCTGATTAATGTCAATGTATGGCAAAAACCACTACAATATTGTAAAGTAATTGGCCTCCAAAAAAAAAAAAAATAAATGGAGAAAAAATAAATAAATAAAAAATACCCCCCCCCCCCAAAATAAATAAACCAGAGATTGAAACTGCTCCCACTGCAGTGGAATTGCGGAGCCCTAACCACTGGAGAAATCTCTATCATAAGTGACTTCTATCTTAAGTCATGGTTGTTTTGGATTTTTTTCTATTTTAAGCAGTTAAATCTAATGCAAATGGATAAAATACCCTTAATTACAGTCCTCTTCAAGAGACCTCTTTACAACTCACTCTCCATTTACAGCACCTCTACTAGCTGCTTCTACATTTTGGAACCTCTGTTTCATTGTGGACCAACTCTGACCCAATGAACATTTTTCTCAAACGTTCCTTTCCCTTCCTTGACTTGGTTTTCTCTTGATAGAATCTCTTTGTTTCACTCTTTCTCTTTTTCTACTTGATGTATGGAGTACAAACATCTAGGGTGGGGGAGAGAGCAACATACTTAGCCCTCCTGCTGCCACCATCATTATTCCCATGTCATTTAGTAAAATATCCTCTTTTGAAGCACACACACTCCATCTGATCCTGGTTACCATTAGGAAAAACTGACATACTGAAAACCCTCCTACCTGATTTCTCAGTATCTTTCTTTTTTGAACATGAGGGATCTTCTTTCTGTCTGTCCAAAAACCACACAATTTCAAGACCCAACTCAGTAGCCATTTTTGTCATCTTCTTTCCAACCACATGCACTAATCAACACTTGTGTGGCAGCTACTATATGTAAGGCACTGTACCAAACATAAAGAACAATAATTCTCATAGCAGCCTTGCCAGGTAGGTAACCCGTCAGACTCCTGTGGCACTTAATCTGTTCACTTAAACAAATATTTGTTTATTTGCCTGCATTAGGTCTTAGTTGCAGTGCGCAGGTTCTAGAGAGCTTGGGCTTGGTGCTTGCCCCCTGGCATGTGGGATCTTAGTTCCCCCATCAGGGATTGAATCTGTGTCCCTTGCACTGGAAGGCAGATTATCAACCACTGGACCACCGGGGAAGTCCCTAACTATTCACTTTTTAAAGGCAAAAACCCCTGCCTTTATTAGGCTATTTGTGATTTGCTTTGTCTCTCCACAAAGGTAGCAGTGGTCAACTCTGATGAAAAAACAGGAACATACAGACCTTTCTGAAATAAAGCTAGGTTTTCAGAAAAGTTGCTAACATAGTACAGAGAGTTGCTGTATACCCTCTCCTCAGCTTCCCCAGTTGTTAGCCTCTTATACACCATCAGTATATCTTATTACCAATGATATTGACCTTGGTCATTTGCTTATGTTGGTGTCTCCCGAGTTACTATTTTCCCCATTATAACTAATGAAAAAATCTCATAGAATCTGCTTCTTGAGTTGCCCTTTGCTGCTTTCTTCCTGATACTATACAATAAGATTCTTATCTCGAGAAAGGATTTTCCACAATTCCTTTACCTTCTCTCCTCATGTTAACCCCCTCCACCTTCTTGCGGGTTTCAAACAGTTCAGTGGAAAAGCCCGGGCCCCTTGGAGATGCTATGATCCACGAGCATTTGCCCGGGTGCCTGCTCTCCAGCAAGAGAGGGGTTAAATTCTTTGGTATAACTTCAGCACTGAACTGCCAAGTCTCTTAGGTTCAGCTCAGCAATCAAACTGCATAACCTAATAGAGCCCCTGGTGCTTCGGGAAACACAAGACACTGATTTATATTTTAATATCAGTAATTTCCACAAGAGCAACATTTCTGAGTGTCATTTTACAATTTCTGTCAAATGCCAGCTCAGTTTTTCTTAATTCTGTTTATTGTGTCTGAATTTGCAACCTCATCGGCAATGCAGATTCTTGGCTCCCAGGGGAGGAGAAAATTTTCGTCTTTCTCTGGAATGGGAGGGATGGAGATAGAGGCAGAAATGGGCCTGTAAAATAATTGGAAATGTAAATAAAGTACTGTTGATAATAAGAACAGTGATAAAGTACTTCTAGATGAAAAAGGGCAGGAGGCAGTACTGGACAAACTTTGCAGAAAAGTGACAAATGAAAGAGGTGTTTGGTTGGGATCCAAACTGACTCTCCTCCCAGAATGGAGAATGGTTCTGTACACTGCAAAATGGAGAGAAGCGAATGGGTGTGGGAAGAACTTGGCTCATTTGCTGTAAGATCGTTGCTCTGGCCACATTAGCACTACAGCAAGTTGTTAAGGGTTTCGGGATCCTTAGCGATCAAAGGTGCATGGCTGCATAAATGCCAGATGTTGCCATTAGAAAGAAGGAGCCTGGTTTTCTCTGTACTCTTTGAACATCTAATAAAAGAACAAAGCTGGTGCTGTTGGCACCAAACCACCCCTACCCAGTGTGCTCCAGGCCGGGTGCGTGTCCTGAGGCTGCTGGCTGTAGATAACGTGCCCGAGGGAGCCCAGTGTCATCCACCAGTTCCTTGCGGGTCTGCAACTGTGGTTTCACATTGTCCTTTCCTGGACAGGGACAACCTTCTGGAAGAGCTCAATCCAATGCTCTTATTTGAAGCCCGAGATTTAGCTTCAGCTAGAGAGTGTTTCTTCTCTGCTTGTAACATACCACCACCCAAGAGTCGGAAGTGAGGACTCTGTAACCCGGTGAAGCTTCTGGTGTGGCTACTCAGGGCCTTTCGCAAATGGCAGTGTCATAAGTGCCCATAATCCTTCTTTTTTCCCAAAGCCATAGGCCTGTTAGTTCACTGCGAGCCCAAAGCTAGCTGCTCTGCCTCCAGTTGCCGTTAAGACCTCGTGCTTTTCGCCAGCATCCTTTAGCTTCATACACTCTAAATCCAACATCATGTCTCATTGCCAAACCTCTGGCAGAAGCCGTGTTGAGTTTCTCAGTGGAGCTATCGACCACATTGACTGAAGCCGCAGCAACGTGTTTCTCCCCGTCCAAAAGGGTAAAAATAACAGGAACAAGTTGTCGGAAATGAAATTTCAATTCATCCACGCCCTTTCTACACTTCTGCTGCGACTCCCAAGCAGGGATCAATAGTGTTTAGACAGCCAAGGAGATTTTTTCCCCTCTTAAAGCACCAGATCAATAGTAAAAAAAAAAAAAAAAGAAAAAAAATCCTCCAGCCCTCTGTATGTGTTGTAGTAAATGTGAACAAATCAGAGGCCTTTGGCTAAACGGATTGATGGAAGGCAGCAGCAGTCCGGCGCTTTGTAACTAAGAGCACATCAACCGTGCAGGTGGCAATGAGGGAGGAAGGCCGCCAGGCCCCGGGTGAACCCTGGTGCTCCCTCAGCTCCATCACAAGGAGGCTTCAAAGGGAATTTCTGTTCCCAAAATGAAGGGAAAAATTAAAAGGTTACTGTGCATTACAGCATGTGGGTGTGACTTTTACAAAAATTAGGAACAGTCAGGACCCTTTATGGAAATGAATTTTATTTGAAGATAGCTTGGGTTGTGGGGTACACTGCACTTCTCCATTTTGTTGCTGCTTTTTTCTTTTCTTTTTTTTTTTTTAGATTAAAGTTTTTGGCTACCTATTGCTTTTCCTCACTGCTTCACAAATTTCATTTTCCACAATGCTGTCCAGCTCTCAAACATCTTTTCCCCTAGAAAGATTCTGAATGCTGATTTACTGGGTTGCCTGACTTTAGCCCAGCATGGGCATGCCTCTGACTCACCTGGGTTCCTCATTTGCCATCACTGATGTTCTCTTAAGTCTGTTCTCTCTCCTTCTCTTAATGTCATTATTCATATTAGGGAGAAATTGAGTTCAAGTTCAATTCTGATTTTCCTCAAATGATTTACCCAGGAGCAACCTTTCCCTCCCATTATAAACATTTCTGTATTGCATTTTTTTTTATGCCATAGGTAAATGATACAATGTGCAGATATTCACTTGGATATGCTAGTCATTAGACTGACTTCCAAATTTGGTCTTTCTGTTTGAAGAGAGAGAGAGAACTGATGGACTGAAGCCTTAATTATGGTGTGAGAAGCTGAAGACTTCTGATAATCCAATTCCTTAACTTCATTTGGAAAAGCCAACCCAAGGGCTCAAAAGACTATCACATAGCTGGTGCCTGTTTGTGGGATGAAAAGTTATTCAGGCTGCAAAGATGAACTGCTATGAACATGTGAATTTTGGCTTTTGTTATAAAAGACTTGTTATTCTTATCAATGATTATCATGCTAAGTTCTGTAATAAATTAAGATTTTATTTGAAATAAAGCACTGGTTAAATCTAATATAGAAGCATAGAAAAATGATAGCATGTCAACATATATTAGCTTTAGATAATATAATTTTTGTGGTAAGTTTAGTTATGCAAATGTTTATAGCCATAGATAAAAGAAATGATTCTTACCGATTATGCTATAAACAGAAGCTTTTCCTGGAGTCCCTTCCTGCCTCTTATATGCCCATACTTTAAACCAGACCTGTTCTTCTTACAGTCACTGGCATATCTGAAAGATCTCCTAGGGGAAAAGAGATATACTTCAGTCACTTTAAATAATCAAGAGGTTAGGTGATAGCAGAAAAAGTTCCTCTCAGTGGATGAAAAAAAAGAGAAATAGAAAAATACAAATATTAATGTATTCAGTAATTAAAAAGTGCCAAGAACCCAGTATGCATCAGGTGAAGCAGAAATGAACAAAGACAAATACAACTACCAGGATAGCGGTTCCACGGAACAGTCCACTTCTCTCTTGTAAGGGGCCTCACACAGTGTGCAGCTGTGTTCTGCAGCTTTTCCTTCTCTCTGATTCTTCTTATCAGCAAGTTAAAGGTTTAAACATTTGAATACATAATGCAGCCGACTAATTCCAAAACATGGAAAGGCATTGGGCCAGGTTTCTCTTTGTCCGTTACTTTCTACCCTTTTCTCTTCTTGTTAGGGATGTTCAGGGGATGGAGGTGGGGAGAACACATGCTTGGAAGAAGAGCCAAGTCTTGAAGGTAACTGTTTTCAGTTACTATTCGTATGAAGATTGTTCCAGAACAAAATCCCCAGCGCAGATCCCATTTGCAGCTCCAGATCTATGTATGCAATTGCCTTGTAGAGATCTATTCTTGATTGCTCCACAGATTTCTGCAGTTCAGGATCTCCAAAATTAAACTCATAATCCTTTATTCCAAACCTGCTACTCCTCCTTTGTCATCTATTTTGGTTATATAATAAACACGTATAACATTTATTACCTGCAAGGCATTGTTCTGAGCATGTCAGTATTAACCCACGTAATCCAAATAACAACTCTATGATACAGGTACTCTGATTATTTTCATCATAGATGAGAAAGATAACTGGCCCAAAATGAAACAGTGGTAAAGCCAGGATTCAAACCCAGGTAGCCCAGCTCTGAGTTTGTGCTCTTAATCTCTGTCACATGCTGCCTCATTGAAAGGCACCGCCACCCACTCTATTTGTTCAAGCTCAGAAATTCGAGCACCGTCTTGATTCTTCTGTCTTCCTCTCGCTCTTGCTCACTTCCACTCCTAGTCCCTTTATCTCATTACTCACCAAGTCCTGCCTATTGTATCTTCTAAATAAATCTTCTATCGGTCCTCTTCTCTTCATTTCCAATGACACTGCCCGTTCCTCCAGCAACCAGTGATATGATCATGGCATTTACTTGCTTAAAACCTTTCAATAATTCTGCATTGCTCTCATGATAGAGGACAGACTTTTAAAATGGTTTATGGGCCCTCCTTGATCTGTGTGCTGCTCTCCTGACCCTCCTCCCTGCCTTTATTCACATTCTCCACTCTAGCTCCACTGAACTATGTTCAGTTTCTCAGACATACCCTGAATCTTTTTCATGCTGCCTGTGCTTATGTGCATCATTCCATTTCCCTCCTCCTATCATCTTTGGGCTAACTCCAGCTGATGCCTCAGGATTCAGGTAAATATCATTTCTCTACAAAGGCTTATCTGGCTGCTGGAGCCTGGATTCTTTCTCCAAGCACGTGCTCCCACCTGGTCTCCTGAACATTTCTAACAAGGCAGTCACCGCACCTTGTTAGGATTGTGGGCATACTTGTCTGTATCTCCCTCAAGACCAGCAGTCCCCAACCTTTTAGGCACCAGGGAGCAGTTTTGTGGAAGAAAATTTCTCCACGGACCAGGAGTGGGGTGGGGATGATTCTGGTTTCCCCCACTTGCTCATCTCCTCTTGTGCGGCCCAGTTTCTAATAGGCCACTGACTGGCTGGTACTGGTCTGTGGCCCTGAGGGGGGGGGGGACCCCTGCTCTAGAATGCAAAGGCATTAGATTGAAGGACTGTGTGGTCTTGTTCACCATCTTATCTCAAACGAGTAGATAAGTACCTGACACATTGTGTGTGTTAGTCGCTCAGTCATGTCTGACTGTGCAACTCTATGGACTGTTGTAGCCTGCCAGGCTTCTCTGTCCATGGAATTTTCCAGGTAAGAATACTGGAGTGGTTTGCCATTTCCTTCTTATAGTAGATGCTCAGTAACATTAATTGAAAGAATGATTAGCCAACTAACTAATATACAGTGAGAAATCACTGTCACAGGAGCTAGAATATTCTCAGTCCATGTGACCAGCACATGTTCTTTCTATATATAGGAAGACCAACATGAAAAACCCAGAAGGATTTTGGTTGACAGAATCAGGACTAAGGGGTATCTAAAGAGTTCAGTGTTGAATGGCAGCTGGCAAGGATGGCATCATAAAACCATCTCAAATAGCAAAGGTGTTACCAATGAAGCTAGTATTAGCATCTGTTGGCCAAGGCCTTCTGTCTCCTGGACACCACTAGGAGGGTCCAGGCATCATTCCCTCTGGGACGATGCTCCCCCTTCCCTTTATGCATCACAAGATTGATAATCTCTTTCTTTAAATAGTCTATTCTGGTACAGTCTGGTTTTGCAGATATGGAAGCTCTTCTGTCTCTCTAAGGTGACTCTAGATTCATAATATGTCTTTTTCTCATTTTCAAGTTCTGGGGTAACCCCCCATAATTCACTATGAATTGGCAAGGTGTCCAAAAAGTTTATAGCAGTTCAGAGGTACAGTGGTTCACTTTTCACTGGAACAATCAAGAAAGACCATGGAGATGACTGCATTTGATCTTGCCTTTGATTCTGATAAGGGAAGATGAGTTGTATTGCAGGGTATTGGGGAGTAATGAGAATTTCCAATGAGAGCCAGAAAAGCAAGGAGAGGCAGGTTTGTGACAAGATTTAGATGCTAGGATGTAGAATCTGGGATTTATCTAGAGGCACTAGGGAGCCATTGAAGGTTTTTGAGCTGGGAAGTGACACTGCAAGAGTTGCTCCAGGCAGTTTAGCCTGGCCTCTGTGTGTAAGGAGACAGGGTAGACAGATGTGAGAAGAAGAGGAGAAGACCCAGAGAGCTAGATAGGAATTAGGAGATGACGATTTTCAAATAAAGTTAACCGGCTGAGCAGATTAACAGGTAAGAAATCTGTGTCTTTAGTTTTTCACTATACTAGTACAATATTATATCCAAATACACAAACACATCATGCTGAAGTTTCCTGAATAGTAATTAAAAGCAAGCAAACAAAAGAACTTCATTTCTGAAGAAATACTTACTAAAGAAAGATAGATGGTGGGTGAGATTTAAAATCGCCCCAATGGGACGATACTGTATTTCTGAATGGTTCGTTTGCTTCAATTACTAGATGAGTCTACAGGTTAGATCTGGTTACAATGGGCTCCAAGATCTGTCTACATTCAACAGTGTGCTCAAAGAGGTCTTAGGTACTAGTCAGGTTGTGGGGACTTGGAAACCTTTCCAATCTAAACAATTTCTGCTGCAGTTGGATTTACACTGTGCCCTATAGAATTATGTGTCCAACATCTCAGTTGTAGCCCTAAAGTGTTGTTGAGGTGAGATGAAGGTAGGGCTGGTTTTGGAATTGGGTGGGGACAGTAGACTACTTATTTCAAACCCATTTACATTTCAAAGTCTTTTTCCTGTAGCTGTCCTCCAGTGATGGAGTCTTGGAGGGAAGGGAGAGTGAGGTGGTTACATATGGGCACTGCTATTGTTATGTAGGAAAATACTTTTTGATGAACAGTCATTTCCTTCCACTGCCAGAGGGTGTTGATAATGAGCAAATTACCTTTTACTCCCTCTGGTGTGGATGTGAAATTGGCTGTTAATAGAGTTGCTAATGCTACCGGGTTAGCATGTGATTGTTCTATTTTAAGCCAATTTAAGTTATATTTGGGGACTAGCCAATCAGACAGCTCACTAAGAATATGGGCCCAACTGCAGCATTTAATATTGAGAAAGCTGCTTCACCCTTAGATGTGGCTGGGAGCAGAAACTGCTGAACAGGCTGTCGTTAACATGAAATATTTTAATACAATGTCTTTTTTTTTTTTTCCTTTGTAGGTACAAGAATGGTCTCATTAGACAAATACCAAGTGTTTTCATCAAAGGATAGGACCCATTTCAAGCATCAATACTATGGAATGCTATCTGACAATGATGTACTGTGCTTAATCTAACAATGGGTTAATATCGGTCATTTCATTACTGCTTGTTATGCTGTGAAAGCTTACTAGAAAATGAAATGTTCAGAAATTAGTTGAAAGGAGCAAAAAAGGTGAGAGATTTCTACTGAGTTATGTGCTCGATTGGGCTAATTAAAGGTACAGATGCATTAGTAAGGGTATGGGGATAGCTTTGATTTCTTAAGATGCTTGCCTGGGAGGGGGATGGTTTATGGCTTTGTAAGTCCCCACACCCAAGGGAAGGGAGTACGGCTTTCTATTATATTCTTCCCAGCCCTCCCCTTACAGCACCCGTTGCCACCTGGCACCTGGTGGCTGAATTGACTGCATTGCTTGGGAAATTTCTTGCTTAAATAGGATATTCTTGAACAAAGCACTGTTGATTTGTGATTTTTATGTTTTATGGGCCTTTCATGTTTTAAATGTAAAGCTCATTAGCTACATACAGAGAAGGAAACAGGTATGAAGAATGGAAAATAAAACTCAACTGATGTGATACAGAAAGGTACAGTGTGTGCCGTTCGGGTTTAGATTAATTGGGCTTGGCACCATTATGACTCCTGTCACCTGATCAGTTTACTGGACTGAAGAAATTGCAGGAATGGAAAGTGCTGGTGCCTAACAGCACCCCAACCTCATTTCTTGCCAAAATACCTCCCAAGGAAATCCTAGGCTCATGCTCTCTGATTTGCTGTTAAGATGAGTAGCCATGGTAAACCTATCTCTTCTGAACTTCCTCTCACGTAACAAATGCTTCCAGAGAATTGCCACATGCCAGGTTGGAATACAGAAGTGACAGGGACAAAGTCCCTGACCAAGAGAGCACAGAGTATATTGGGGGAACACTTAGCTATAAACACAATATATGGTTATAATTGAACTAATAAGAGATGATTAAAAGCATGGACATTTGCAAAATACTTTCAGAGTTGACTTTTTGCCTTCTTAAGCATCCACGAGA